AGTAAATATCAACTGCTCTGATGCATAATTTACAGATGTAAACTGTATTCAGTGAATAATAAGAGAGATTCCGCTGAAAAATAGGCAAAAACTGAGAGACGAGTTGAGAACACAACCTTCGCATTAGCTGATCCACTCAATTTTAAAATTTAAATCTGGTAACCCCATTTATGATCTTGTGATAAACCATCTCTCCTTTTTTTTTTCTTTTTTACGGTTGGTCCAAGACTTCCCTCGAAATTCTGTACCACCTCTCTTCTACACGGCCTGGATGATGGGGCAGTAATGCAACTGACGTTTGGTTTAATGATTTTGAGTTTATTATCATCTGACGTAACCCATGTTGTTGATGGAGGGATAAAAGAGGCTTTTCTATTGAATGGACAGTTGCTATTGCTTTGTATACTCCGTCGTTTCCAGGAATGGCGTATAATGGAGAGGCCGGAATAAAAAATATTGTTCTTTAGCAACCTGATACATTCTATTGGATACACGATATTATTAATATTTCATTTATTTTTTTAAGTTCTTTTTTTAATCCTGAAAACTGCCTCGATTAAGGTAGAGAACATATTTATTTTTTTCATAAAACATGTTTAATATCCACCTATCAAGTATATATACACGTGGATGACCCGCAACTTTTTTATTTAATCTTTATTTGTTGCTAGGAAAGAACCCCATATAAATAGTCTTATCTTTGTACAAGAATGTCTTAAAAAGCATATTTGATAAATAGTTAGAAAGTAAAAAAAAAACGCCAGTTATTAACAATTATATAAAATCTAAAATTCCGTAAAAACACATAAACAGTATCAATAAAAACAATAAATAAAATTCTGCCCAGCGGCTCCGCACTCGGCGTGATATTTACATTTGACGAGGAGGTCTCTTATCCAGCTTCTCTTCAGTCGCCTACAGACGTTACCTGGCATAGTGGCGTAGTGGCCATGTCATTTATGAATTTTCAGTACGATAACCGGACCGATCTTGGATCAGAGTACTTATGCATATAGAATAAAGGTCAATAAAGAACTGCTTACAAAAACTAGTCATTCAATGTACCATGATATGAAGGTAAGGAGGTTTAGATGGGCAGGGCATGTAACTCGTTGCAATCTATCTGCAAGCCTCTACTTAACAATGAATGCTTCAATACAAGGCACAAGACCACGTGGAAGGCACACGCAGGGTATTGTTTTTAAAACCTAAAACTCGATATTTCACAAGAGATGTAAACAAAGCGATATTTCTTGGTCCTAATTAAATTAGTTATGGAGTATTCTAATCAAATTGAAAAAAAACATTAGTATCTTAAATATCTGTAAATATTAACGTTATTAATTTTATCAGAACAATGAATCATTTATTTATTCCTTTACTCATTCCACTAATGCAGATTAATAGAAAATAGCCCAAGACGATGAGGCTTGTTAAGGCGGCAAAATATCTACATGGTCTGTAACGCCAACAGAAAAAAATCTGGTGTGTCCACTCACATGAATTTTCAACCTATTTAAGAAAAGTTTTTATATCTTTACATATGTCAATTGCGGAAGAAAAAAAATTAAATTAGATTTATTTTCCCTAAAATTGATCAAAGTCAAGATTTGAGTACGATTCTTTTGTTAAACTACAGCTGTGTAAACCTGCTTATAGAATATCAGCCTAAATCAAAACACTCTAATATTGCTAATCAAAAACTTTTTGCCACAGCCCAATTTTTCAGATAATAATTTATGTTAAAATAGAATAGTGAAACTTGTATAATGGGGGCACCAGATTTTTTTACTTTCATTTACTTTTCTTTTTTCTCTCTCTTTTACCACTTTCTGGCCCTGGGATTTGAGCTCATAATCTTACATACGAAATTGAATGGTTGTAACTTCGCTAATTTTTGTCCGAATTAATCGATTTTTATATAGTTTTGCAGAAAATTACACCACCTTTCAGAAAAACATGCTGAAAACCCTACAAAATAAAAAAAAAGCAACAAAATCGGTCCACTAGTTTCCAAGATAATCTTGTCACAGAAAGACCAATGGCTGAAAAAGTATTTTTAGGACTCGGGGGGTTGTGAAACGTATCTGTATGTTTAGTAGCCCTGATGAAGACCTGCAAGGTGGGTCGAAACGTCGGTGTAATAATTAAAAATACAATTTGTTTAATATTTAATATTTATTTGACCGCACTCCCCGACTCCTTCTCATATTGTATCTCGGTCAACAATCTCTACACCATTAAATATTTTACAACAATTTTGTATGGTATTTAGTAATCTTTTTTTTTTATTGTAATAATATCTCTTACTGTACATTTCACATATAAGGGTAAGTAAGAGGAAAGATGGAAGAAGAGCGCTATTGAACCTCTAGCCGCAAATATCGTTGAAAGGAGGAAGTACTGGCTCGACCGAGAATAGCACACACACACCAAACACTCATGATAAAGGAAGCGCCACCGAAACGTCAATATTGAAATTGCGATGTGGCAGTACCGTAAGCCGTATTTTCCCGGAATCCCATATTTTACCTTACACCTCATTGGTTAAGTAATCAAACCCAAGTCAGCAACAACCCAGAGGAGTTTTCAAATTTCCTCATTCGGAAAAATGAGACCAAATAGATATAAGATTATCCTCAAACTGTACTTTTGGGATTTTGTTGCAGATTACATAATTGTATATTAGATATTTTCAAATCTAATTTACACTCTCTTTTAGACGTACAAAACTTATTACATACTTAATAAGTTGAAACCTGTCTATTACTGCTACACTTACCCTACATACGTTTATAACAAAATGTTCTCCAAATCGACTCTAACGGATTTGATTAAACTCTTTATATACCTTGAAATAAATTTCAATAGGTCTTAAATACCGTATTTGTAAAATTTCTTCCTATAACGTCCCTTTATTTTTTTTTATATACACCTTGTTAGGATTAAGTGGGCAAACTGCAAAAATGAGCTAAGGATTTCAAAACAAGAAAAAAAAATTCCTATGATGGTATGTCCGCATACACTTTGTTTAGGAGATATTCACTGTTATGAACTATTTACGTTATATGAAATAAATAAAACCTATTTATTTGTTCTATTTTTTTTATTCACACCTGTCATAATGGTAATGACAACTAGTGAATGTTAGATCGATTGAAAAATATAAGGTCATGAAAGGCATGAGGAGGATCAGTGAGTGCCCAGCGGCACCTCACTCGGCGTGATAGCTACATTAGGCGAGTTGGTCCCTCATCCAGCTCCTCTTCAGTCTCCTACAGACGTTACCTGGTATATTCGTAGTGGCATTTATGAGTGTATTAGAGGTGGATGTCCTTGTAAGTTGTCGTGGAATCGTTTGTAAAATTCCATATATAACAGTTTAACTGTTATATTTCACTTTCGAATAGTTATTTTAAAAAAACATCCGAAATGTTAAGGATATAATCCAATTACAAACAATATATCGTCAGTTTTTTTTTTAAATTATTTCTTAATGATATTTACAACTGTATTAAATAAATACATCCAGTAAATTTGACCATATGGATATAATGACGTGAAAACACGTGCTGAGTAACTACCCAATGGTAGCACTCTAATGATATGACTACATTAGGAGATCACGTGGCCATCTTCTTTTCAGACGCCTCGTAGGGTTATCAGGAATTGAAGAGGAAGCAAGGTTAGAAACGAGAGGATTTGGATGGTTATGAAGTTAATTATGGAAGAATAGGTATCTGGATTGGGCCAAGTCGGAAACATATGGAACAATAAGGTCATTATAGATTATTTTATTTGTGACAAAGTAAAGAGCATTGAGGATTTTACGAAGGATTTTGGATTGTAAGGATTGGATACGATAGGAATTTGATGGTTTAGTGAAGCCCCATAGCTCAACTCCATAAGTACAAATAGGTCTTAGTATAGTCATGTATATTAGTCTTTTGTAATTAATTGAAAGTTTAGAGCGTTTGTCTGGTAAGTGTAATCGGAGGAGTAAGCGGAAACTTAGAGCAGTTTCTTGTCGTTTCAGTCTTGTATAAGGATTCCAAGTGAGACGTTTGTCTAGGTGGAGTCCAAGATATCGTATTTGTTCAACAGGAATAAGTGGGGTATTATTAAATGATACTGTAGGACAGGAATTCAGAGGTTTACCGTCCCAAATTTGTTAAAAGGTAAGAACGAAATCATTGTCAGACCCCTGCCGCAACAACATTATACACCTCAAAATTCTCATCCCCATTCTCAGCCTAATCCTAAAATCCTATCAACACCAAATTTCTCACGTTCCTCCTCCATCAAATACCATACTAACTACTACTATTGAGGTGATAATGCAATTTCATTTATACAATTTTACAGCAATAGATTTAGATGTTTAACTACATAATTAAAATTTTAGTCAGATTCTTATATTTTATATTAATTTCTATATTACTTAAAAAAAGAGTCCAACAAAGATTTATCAGGTATAATGTTTAATTTTGTACATATCAAAAGAGTTATATGATATGTCTATATGAATAAATAGACTTTTTGTAATTTTAATGGTCTTAATGATTTGTAATCTGTAAGCTTTAAGCTTTTGCTCTGTGTAAAATGCACTTCAATAATTTTATAATAGCCCAGAAATGCAAGAAAATAATTTCTATTCAAAGTAGAGCGGTAATTGAAAGTTCTGTGTTGCGCGCACCAGTTTTTTTTTTTTTTTTTATCAATTGGAACTATTATTTGATGACAGTTTATTTTAAAGTCATAAAATGACTAATGGAGGAAATATTTTTCTCATTACGAAATTAATTGTAATTTCCAATAAAATTGAAAAACCTTAAAATTTTAACTACCTATAAAGTTTAAATATCTAAGAATTGATACATTAAAAATTCGTGATGACTCTAAATTAACCATTCGTTTTTTCCTTCCACTAAACTTAGTAAGTAGTTTAAATACAGGACCACCGGAAATCCCAGTACCAGTTCTCGACCAGGTTCATCACCATGAAGCTGTTATTCATCTGCTTGGTAGGAGTGAGCCTCGCTGTGGCGGCTGTATGTTCATTAAAATAGTTTATAATTGAAGTTTAGGAATCGTTTTAAGATTTATTACAATAAACCCACGATATATTTAATCTAACCTCAAATAAAAAAAATTAACCATAACGTCTATCGTTTTTTATATAATCGCATCAATTATAATTTCAATAAATCAAAACAGTTTCAAATATTATTAAAAATATTTTATTCTGTTGTAAAAATGAAATCTTAATGGATTTGAAGTTATCAAGAAATGCGATGTAAACTGAGCTAAATTTTTGCAAAAATATTCGATTAACTATCACATTTTAGTTTTGAATACCTATCTAGCTCCAGGGATCCTTACAAATCCTCTCCGGAGGTTAAAACGGCAGTGGCCCCGCGACCTTTTGTAAATATTTATATATTGAAGTTCTGGCAATGATCAGATTCTCCACTCAAGTCCTGATCGTTTGTTGCTGTAGCGCTCTCCACCAGTCTCCACTTTCTTCCAATACCAGTGACGCGGCTGGGAGAGAAGCACCGGGATCTCCTGGTTCCTGTCTTGTCTTCCATATTTGGTGGACAAAGCATGACTCTTCTGAGCGAATGTAAATATCGTATATAGCTGTGAATATGTTTTATTTATTTTAATTTCATTTAGCTTGCATCTATTGTTTCATTTTTTGTTGTACATATGCATATTAATTTAATTATTTTATTTTTCAATATTTCTTTTTCTTTATTATCTCTATCTTAGTTATTATATGTATGTACATATTGTGTGAATGATTAATGTAGCTCTAATATTAATGCCCTTCAATGTGGCAGAATGTATTAATGCTCAATTAATAAAAATAAATATATTTCTTCTAATTTTAAAAGGTTATAACAGAGAGAGAAACCCAGGAGGTAACATCAATTCAAAACGGACACACACAATTTAAACAACTCCTCCCTAAAGATGGAGAAAGTGTTGGGGAGGTAATGCAATTTCATTTATACAATTTTACAGCAATAGATTTAGATGTTTGACTACATAATTAAAATTTTCGTCGGATTCTTATATTTTATATTAATTTCTATATTACTTCAAAAAAAGAGTCCAACAAAGATTTATCAGGTATAATGCTATTTTAATTTTTTACATATTAAAAGTGCCCAATGAGTTTTAAATATCTCAATTCATTCTAGATTAAAAAGAAAGGAGGATCAGTGCGTTTCCCATGTTGTATTATAGACTTTGGTATGTTGATGACAGTAAAATTGAAAGCATATTGTCAATATTGTAATATAATTGTGAACTATTCTAAACCTTTGAAACTTTGAAACAGGTGACATTCGATAATCTATAGAAGATGAGTTTTTCAATCAATGGCTGATGACATCACGAATTCTGTTACTGAAATATACAAATATCAACTCTGTCATCTGAAATTAAAATATATATGTTTGCTTTATCTATATATTATATTGTTTATCTATCTAATTCACGTTTTCCATATCCTTGACTCAATTAATTAAGATATTTGGATGGTGAATATTAAACAAATCATAATATTTGGATGCTGAATATCCAAATCATTTTTATTATACGCATTTCCGAAGAAATATAATTTAATAATTTTGGCTATGACTTTATTAAACAACTGCTATTAAAAAAAATACAACGCAATGATGTTGAAGGTTTTTTGTCGCTTCCTTCAGCTTTAATCCTGAACGAATTTAACATAATTTAATAAGATATGTGTAAAACTTATTGGACTATCTTAAAAAAATAATATGGCATTAGCCTTATCAGGTGAGTCCTTCTGAGATTATTGTTTGAAGTAACATTTATTGTTTTTTCATTGTATCTATGAAATTGCATTACCTTTTCAATACCTTACTTAACTTCTGTAGGGAAAATTGATCAATTTGTTTGTCTTCGTTTGGACTTCGACTTTTCACGTCTCGAGTCTTTTTCAGCAACTTGGGTTGTTATGGAAGGCAATAGTGATCGTTTGGTTCTCTCTTTTTCAGAATTTCTTGAGAGCACTTGGTTTACTAAACGTATGCCATAACATTTCACTGGTACGTTCCTGAAGAATGGTAGGGAATCTTTTGCTTTAATTTTCCACTCGGTTTTTTATATGGGTTAGGGGATTATCAGCCCTATACCCAGTCTATACCCATATGGCCTATGAACTATAGCCTATACCCAAATACAAGCTTCAGGACCAGGAGCTATGGTGACTGACACAGGGGTCGCTCTCCTTCCCTCGTTCCTCCTCGATCCCTGATAACCCTCTGAGGCCTCGGGACCTTCTAATATATATATGTTTTTAAATTTTATTTTATTGAGATTTACAACTGTATTACATGGAAAATACAATAAGTAAATGTGACAATGGTAACATGACATGTACAACATGAAGAGAACCTACCCATTGGTAGAACTCAAATTAAAGTTCTATATTAGAAGGTCCCGAGGCCATCTTCTTTTCAGACGCCTCGCAGGATTATCAGGTATCAAGAAGGAAGCAAGGTTTGCAACGAGAGGATTCAGATGGTTTTGCAGTTTGTTATGGAAGGATAGATATCTGGATTGGGCCAAATCGGAAACATATGGAACATTAAGATCTTTATGGATGATTTTATTTGTGACAAAGTAAGGAGCGTTGAGGATTTTACGAAGGATTTTGGATTGTAAGGATTGGGTACGAGAGGAATTCGATGGTTTAGTGACCCCCCAAAGCTCAATTCCGTAAGTCCAAATAGGCCCTTATTATTGTCATATATATGAGTCGTTTGTAATTGATTGTGAGCTTAGAGCGTTTGTCTAGTAAGTACTGCAGTAGTGGAAAACGTCGGGCGGTTCCTAGTCGTTTCAGTCTGGTATGGGGGTACCTTTTAATACAGAACTTTAATTTGAGTTCTACCAATGGGTAGTTTCTCTTCATGTTGTACATGTTATGTTATCAATGTCACATTTACTTTTTGTATTTTTAATGTAATACAGTTGTAAATTTCATTAAAATAAAAAATAAAAGAAATATCTATTTACAATTAAGGTTATGCCTCAACAGCTCAAAATTAACTAAGTTAGTCGACAATTAAATCTTCGATACTCACTCAAACTTTAAAAAAAAGTTTATTTGGTAAAAAGTTTACAATGAACAAAATATATATGATACAACAACTACACTAACTATGGCATCTAACTATCTACTATGAGTGACAATGTCTGACTACTTGCTAGGCGGGTAAGGGATGGGTATTTATACAGAGTCAAGAGAAAAATACTGACTCTAGGGATTTACCATTATTTGGCTACCTTAAGTGACTGTTCTACATATCATGGGTGATAAGTATTCAATACGCAGTCATCATAAAGTTTTTATTAGTGCCGACGTTGTGCAATGCTCGAAACATTCCCTGACGATCCAAATGTTTGGGTTGAAACGTCGGCACTAATAATAAATATATTATAATAATTTATAATAAATGTTTAATAAATATATAATAAATCATTTATTATATATTTATTATATTACAATAAATATATAATAAATAATAAATACTTTATAATGACTGCGTCCTTAATATTTATCACCCAAAAAATTATTATTATTGTTATTATTAGTTTCTAGAATCCCTTACATAGGGCCGCTACAAAGTTCTGCCAGGTATCTTCATCTTTAGTCAGCTCCTTGACTCCAGACCAGGTCTGTCCTGCGCTGCACAGTTGGAATCCTCCTCAACGTTTATTTCGGCCGTCCATGTCTTCGCTGGCCTTGGGAGTTCCACTCCAGACTGTCGTGTTATAATGCTGTGCTGTGCGACATCTGTGACGTTTACTGGCTTGATCTAACGGGGCTTGGTTAGTTTGCGCCCAGAACTGAACTTGGCATTAGAAATTGTTTCAGACCACCATACTGGCAATATATTCCGCAGACATCTATTTACGAACGTCTGTAGCCTCTTGGACACCTGCTTGGTAACTTGTACAGCAGTACCAACCTGACATTTTTTTTTGAAGATGCAAAGCTTATACCTCTGTTTTATTGGCCACACTGGCCAAAGCTGCGATAATGTTTTTGGGGTTTTCCTTATACGACTCGCAACATCTTCATCGGTCCCTCTATCCTGGGCCACCATACTCCCCAGCCAGCAGAATTTAGTAACCCTTTCTATCGTTTAATCTTCTATGACAAGATTTTCTTGACTCCTACTATTGACTCTTATTGACTCTTTCGTGTTAGTACCATTTATTTTAAAGCTGGCGCTTCGGAGTTCATTTAGCTTCTCCTGCATGTCTCTGAAACTTTAAGCCAAATAACATAAGTCATCCGCAAAGTCCAGATCTGAGTCCTTCCGTGAGCCTTTGCTGAATTCCTTATTCTCTACGAACAGCGTTCCTTAAAAGTACCATCAGGAAGAAGATAGGGGAGAGAACACATTCTGCCTAACACCAGTCCCAAACATTAAAGGTAGTGTTGACCAAAGTCGGTCTTAGTACCAAAAGACCAAGAGGGCCTGGAAGGAGTGCTGGAAAAAATTGAGTGATGGAGATCTGATCAGAATGGTTTTTTTTATCGGCATTTAGAGTGAACCTATTGAGTAGGGTTGCCCAAATCGGTCTTCGTTTTGCACCAAGACCAAGACAGGTAAAATTTTTTTTTTTTAAATTACAATACCTCGAAAAACGATGGGGGGGGGGAGTGTTCAGGATGTCCACGCTCTGTTGATTTCAGAGCAGCCTATGATTCTGTGGATAGGAGTTGTCTTTGGAAAATCATGTCTGAACTATGAGTTCCCGGTAAGTTGGTGAGATTGACAAAGACGTGTACAAATTAATAGTATGAATATATATTATAATCTGTCTCAATTAAGAACTCTTATAAGAAAGTTCAGAGAGGACATTCACACCATATTTGCAGAATCATAAATAAATAAATAAATAACAATATAATATATAGCGAAATAAGAAATATAAGAAATAAAATATAATATCATAATGAGAGAAAAACAGTACTAATAAAATTATATAACTAATAAAAATAAAAAAGGAATTTCGAAAGATAATGCTGGCAAAGTGTTTCAATTAAAAAAAAACATTTGTGATTGTTAAATTGACCTTTTCATCTGAATAAACTCATTAAGATAACAGAGGAAAAAAGATTCGATAAAATAAAGCTACTGATGCGTAAAAGCTATTTACATTACAGATACTTTTTATCTCAGAGAAGGTCTTGGCTTTTTCTAAAAAAAAAAAAAAAATTAAAAAAATAATAAAAAAGTTATGGAAACAAAGCATAACCTTTTCATTAAAGATGTTTTCTTTTCATTTAATGAATTTAATACTTATTTAATGAATTCATGAAATTTATAATTATGTAAAATAAATGAAATATTATATGAAAATCTTCAACATCTGGACGATAAAAAATACTCAGATATTTCTGTTCTTTTTTTTTTTTTTTGTTAAATTGTATAGCGCTCTCGCTTGGACTCCACTGGCTTTAGCAGCAGTGACGCAGTTGAGTGAGTAGCGCAGGGATCTCTTGGGGTCCTGCTTTTTCTTCTATAGTTGGGGGAGAAGCCTGGCTTGGGGTTCCCTGCCTAATTGTATATATTGCATATAGGCATGACTGTGTTTTTATGTTTTTAAATTTTTATTTATGTTTTAATTTATTTATGTTTTTTTTTTTTTTTGTTTTTTATTTCTCTACCACCTTCAAACACTGTACGATATTTGGGTCTCCACTTGGACAAACGATTGACATGGACATTCCACATAAAACAAAAAAGAAAAGAACTTAATCAACGATACGGACTTCTTTCTAGGCTACTTGACAGACGTTCTAAACTATCTGTGACTAATAAACTAACTATTTACAAAGTACTCATTAAACCACTTTGGAAATATGGGATCGAACTATGGGGAACAGTTAAAAAATCAAGTATAAAAATCATTCAGTCACTCCAGTCAAAAGTCCTTCGGAAAATTGTAGACGCACCCTTTATGTTTCAAAACTCACGTTACACACTGACATTAACATTCCTTTCATCACGGCAACTGCCACAGACCGCTTTAATAATTTTCATGACAGACTGATTCTAAATTCCAATCCACTTACTCAAACTCTATCTACTGCCACAAATCCATATAATCCGCAAATAATCCATAGAAGACTGCTAAGGCGCTGTCCAAGAGACTTATTGCATTGAGCTACTTGCTGCATTATCTTTTATTTTTTTATTTTTATTTTTTTTTTGCTTGTTATTATGTTATTATGTGTTATCTTACTAGTGTTTTTTTTTTGTCTTCTTGTTTTGTTATTACTATTATTTTTTTTCTGTATGCTATTCTTCTCCTTGATATCATATTTGCTGAATACCGAGGTAGATGGCAAATTTATTGTAAGCCAAGAATATGTACATTATAATAAATCTAAAAAAATGTTTTTTAATTTACTTATCTTTAGGTTATTTTATTTTTTTATTGTACATAGTTTTTGATTGTTATTTTACTTTTATCAATTTTATATTTTCTGTATATATGGTGTGAATGTGTTCATGTATCACTATACACTATTGTCCACGTGACAGATTGTTATAATTCTAAATAAATCTAAAAAAAAAAAAAAAAAAAATGTATTGCGTATTGAGTGGAGTTTTCGGGCCGAACAAGGACGAGTCAACCGTTGAATTTAGGTGATTACACAATGCTGAATTGCGCGAACTGTCCTTGGTTAATACACATCAATCAATAAGTCTGACTAAGAAAACAATTTTTTTTTTAAACGTAATATTCACTAAGGTTTTGCTTTTCTCAAGATAGTCGTTGAACAAAATTCCACACGAGTACCAAAATATGGATACCTTAAACTTGTCAGCCGATTTTTGAGTTCTTGGTCTTTTTAGGTGACTTTCAGTGGTTCGTGTCCACTCAGCTGGCGATCTTCATAATTCAGGCGTGTAGTGGTGGATCAATGTTTCATCCACTGTCTCATACCGAAGCTATAAATCCTTTTTATTTTATTTTAGGGCTCGTCGGGGGAATCGTCGACGCGTTGTTTCTGATCCGATGTGAGCAAACGCGGCACTCCCTTAGAAAGCGATTTGCGCACGCCCAAATATTCATGTAAAATTGTAAAGACACTACCTTCTGATATCTTCAAAGTGTCAGCTATCTCACGTAACTTTTTTTTTATTATTTCTTAATGATATTTATAACTGTATTGAATAAATACATCTAGTAAATTTGAACATAATGGATACAATGACATGAAAATACTTTCTGAGTAACTACCCAATCGTAGCACTCTAATGATATGTCTACATTAGGAGATCACTGAGTCATCTTCTTTTCAGAGGCCTCGGAGAGTTATCAGGAATTGACGAGGAAGCAAGGTTAGAAACAAGAGGGTTGGGATGATTCTGAAGTTCATTATGGAAGGATAGCTATCTGGATTGGGCCAGATCTGAAACATATGAAACATTATGGATGGTTTTATTTGTAACAAAGAAGGGAGCATTGAGGATTTTAAGAAGAATTTTGGATTGTAAGGATTGGATACGAGAGGAATTCGGTGGTTTAGTGGAGCCCCATAGCTCAATTCCGGAAGTCCTAATAGGCCTTATTATAGTCAAGTATATGAGTATCTTTTAATTAATTGGAAGTTTAGAGCGTTTGTCTAGTAAGTGCTGAAGTAATCGGAAACGTCGAGCGGTTTCTTGTCGTTTCAGTCTTGTATGAACACGTAACTTTTAAAACTATTTTGTGGACATTTGTGTTTACCGGAACAACTGCCGATTTTATTTGATATCCTGCCCAGGCCAGATATAGACTACTGATATAGACTGTCCTCCCAGATAGAAGTTTCAATATTAGCGATTAGATAGCGGTTGAAACTAGGTGAATCTGTTAAATAACATAAGCTACACCGACATTGCAGTATCTCCTCTGTAGAGAGAAATCTGATAGTGTTTGCAATTCACAAAGATACTAATGAATGGCCTCACTAACAGGTTGCCTTAGTAGCTCCCATCACGGCCAGTTCAAATACGAATCCATTTCTATACTGTTTGCATTTCCTAATGGTTGCTTATTCAAGTAAAAAATCTGGTGCGCGCAAAACTTACCTTTCTACTTTGAACAGAAATTATTTTCTGACAATTTTAAACAATTATAACATTTAAGAAGTGCACTTTTAACAGAACAATATCTCAAGGCTTACAGCTAACAAATCATTAAGACAACTAAAGTAACAAAAAACCTATTAATTATATCAACTGTAGACAATAAAAAACATCGATACTCCTTCTGTTTTTGTAAACCACATAACTCCAGTCTCTGAGCTATATATTGTATTTAGCTATAGTGCTTGAAAGTAGCTTAGAGAGATGAATGATTATGAATTGTACGCATATTAGTTATTAATCAGAACCTTACCCATCACCCTAATCCCGTAGCACAATCCCTATCTAGTACCACTTATCCCTACAATCCTCCTCGCAGATTAAAACAACAGTGCCCCTTGACCTTTTGTAACATGTATATATTGAAGTTCTGGCAGTGGCCAGATTCTCCACTCAAGTCATGAGTGTTTGTGGTTATAGCGCCCTTACTCAATCTCCGCTGGCTTTTAATACCAGTGAAGTTGTTGAGGAAGAAGCGCAGGGATCTCCTGAAGCCTCGCTTTCCCTCCACATGTGGGGGAACAAGTATGGTTTGGAGTTCCTATGGCCGACTGTAAATAGTGTAATAGGTATGCCTGCGTCTAAGATGTTTATTTTTTATTAATTTTACTTTTTTTTTAAAGATAATTTTAATTCTATTTTATTCATTTGTTTTTATTCTATTATTACTATTATTTATATTTTCTTCCTTCACTATGATATTTTGTTTTGTTCTTATTTAGCTTTATATTATTTTGAAATTACCTTATTTATTTTTTTAATTTGTAAATATGGTGTGAATGTGCTCTTAGAACTCTATTATAAATGTCCATTATTGAGACAGATTGTAATGTTTATCAATAAACAAATAATCCAATTAGTTATTAAACTGTTATTTTCTATTTTACTAAAATGAAATTACGAGATTTTTATTACCTGCCATAGATAGGTCAAAAGTTGTCAAATTAATTTTA